CAACAATGCAACAGTAGCAGCAGCAACAACAATAAAAGTATAAATTATACAAAAAAATATAAAACACAGATAAAACCTTAAATAATAGTTTTGCTGAGTTATCATAAATATGATGATAAACATAAACATTTTTATTATAAAAGAAGATAGAAAGAAGTGTTTTTTAAGAGGAGTATATATGCAAATATATTGATGCAACAACACTAGCAGTAGCGAAACAAAATGTTGCTCTTTTGTTGCAGGAAGTTTGATAGTGATGACCCAATTTAATGAACCCCATAAAATGTGTGTGTATGTGTGTGGAAGTTTTAAAGTGTGATTTTGTTTGTATGCGGCAATTATTTTACATTTTTTTTTTGTTTTTGTATTTAAAACATGACTTTGCAGCATGTATGTTGTATGTTGCACATACATGGAATACAATGTCTGATATATATAATAATGCAGATCTATAGATGTAAAAGCTAGACATAATAAGTACCTTTAAACAGAGCTTTAAAAGAATGTATTAATGATGTGTAATATAATCACAAATTTCAAAACTTATCAAAAACGAAAGCGATTTAGAAAAAGATTTCGCCATATTATTCGTATTATATTAATAGAATAAACTCTCTTTTAGATCATCTGCTCACCAGTCCTGACTTTTGCCCCTTAAAACTAAATAGTGAGGTCATTGTTTGTTTATTATAAACATCTAATGCATTTCCAATTTATATTTAAGAAACATAAATCTACAAAAAAAAACTGTCACGCACGTTGACACAAAATTATCTAATCAATTTGTAAAAGAAATACATTATTTTACTTTAACTATAAAATTAAGCGCGTGCTGACCAATTAATTGAATGTGTAAAATAAAAAGCATTTTTTTAAACAGCCCTTAAAATAACATTAAACACTTGCCACTTTCATCCCTAAAACCAGGACATAACATTCATACATTTTTCTTAAAAATTTCTAACAAATATTTTATTTAAAACAAAAACCACTTTAAAATCCCAATGACACTTTAAATGGCATAGAATTTTTGTTTAAAACATACAACATATTTCTTAATCAATGGATTTACAAACTAATATACCGTAATATTGCAGCTGTTCAAGGGCGTGGTTTTTACAAAAACTCCCTACTTGCTTGAATGAAATTGAAACTTTTCTTTGTTTTCCTTTTTTAGAATATAACATACCTGCAACCATAATCATTTGTATTTATGTTCTTAAATGTAAAGAATGGAAAGAAAATATGAAAAAAGAACAAACCATGCTATTTATTACTGCTGTTGTTATTGTCTACACCTAGTTTAGAGGATAAAGGATATTAATGTGTTGTTAGTTACTAACTTTTGTTGTTGTGGCTGTTTTAGCCTGTTTACCACAACATCATGATGATGATGACATTATGCGTATTATTGTATAAACCAAAACTTATGTATTATTTGCATTTTACACACTCATTTTGTTTGTTTGATTGTCTGTTTTATTTTATATCATTTTCTCCTTTATTATCATTGTACATGACTGCTAGGTTTGAATGTCTGCTTATTGTTTTTGTTTTTTTACAACTGCTGCTCTACTACTCTTGAAAATCAACCTACAAGGAGAAATCGTTAAATCGTCATTTCTTATACCTACATGCGCATGTGGGCGCATTAATGAGCCGCCAGTCAGCCAACCAACCAACAACAGCAGCAGCAGCAACCCGCCAGCAACAGACACGATTGCAACGACAATCGACAACTTCAACGACAACAACAACAAATGATGGCAATGTAGACGTTGTCTATGGGAAAGCTTTAACTTTACATATGATATAAAGATTATAGGGAGATGGTTTGAAAAATGTTGGTGCAATTTTATATTTTTTTAAAATTCAAACCCACCAGAGGCTTTAAAAATATAAAATTTGCTTATTTATGCAGTTCAAAAGCTTACTCGAACCTTAAGTTTATTAACTTATCTTTTCCTTAAAGTTAATTTTTTAAACCCTTTATGAAATCTCCCCAAATTATTAGATCTGATTCATATGTTTTCGCAGAATTTTAAATTTCGTAAAATAAAATTTATCGAAATTAAAATCAAATTTATCAAAATTTACTAAAAATATAAAATTTATCGTAAATTTTCTCAAAATAGATGGTTTATCTTGATTTTTTAATTAGAGAAATTATCGAAAATTATTAAAAATTTTCTTAAAAGACAGCTCTGAACACTATATTGTACATCCTACCTATAGATCTGTATATAATGCCCATTTTTGGAGATCAAGAACTTATGGACACGCTAAGATTTTAAGCCTATTACCTCCAATCTTGAACCAACCATCCTACTGTATTACCTCAAACAAGGTCTTTGTTAGAGTTTTCAAAATCAGAGTTCCTTCCAGGACCGAGTGGTGTAGGGGTTACCTACCGAGTGAATATACCACCAGAATCTTTACATATGGTTCTAAAATGAACTGCGGCACTTTTCTCACTACTACCACTTCACTATTAGTTAGACAATGCAAGAAGGATCTGTCAAGGCTGGGTCTTGCCAGAATGGGATCTGCTCTTGATATCTGCAACGCCTAACGTAGCAACTCCGTTAGGTTTTATCAAGAGTAGTATCTTGTATCTTGATATTATTTCTTCAGAAGGCTGAAAATAGGTGGAATAATTTGGACACATGTAAAGGGGCCAACTTATTGTGACTCTCCTTTAATGAAATACCCACAAGACACCTTATAAACCTATACAGACGGGAGGTATCGAGGTTGATAGCAGTAATAATAGGACACTTGATGCTAGGCAGACATGCAAGTCGGCTTGGGCTCCCCTTCAATGAACACTGTCGCAGTTGCAAAGACAGGGAAAAGGAAGAAGTGCGAGCAGTGAACTACCACGTTAACCAACCAAAACTATCAAAACTTTTATAAAAATAGAAAAAGTTTCGTAATTTTCTAAAAATAGAAAATTTATCAAAAATTTTCTAAAAATAGGAAAATTATCAAAAATATTCTAAAAATAGAAAAATTTTCTAAAAAAGCAAAATTTATTAAAAATTTTCTAAAAAAAATACAAAAAATTTATCAAAAATTTTGTAAAAAGAGAAAATTAATGAAAATTTTCTTAAAAATAGAAAATTTATACAAAATATATAAAAAATTTTAAATTTATCGAAAATACTCTAAAAATAGAAAATTTATCAAAATTATTTTAAAATAGAAAATTTATTAAAAATTTTCACATAAAATAAAATTTGTCAAAGATTTTATAAGAAAATTTCCATAAGTTTTATAAAAATATAAAATTTATGGAATTTTTTTTTTTAAATTTGAAATTTATGGAAAATTTTTGAAAAATTAAACATTTTTGGAAAATAGAAAATTAATAATTTTTTGAAAATAAGAAATAAAATGGAAAATTAAACGAAATATTACTAAAATTATTAATATTAATAAAATTGAAAGTTTTGAGTTTCTTAAACCATCTTGAATTAATGGGTGGATAATCCTTGTCGTTGTCGTAACGTGTAAGAGAAAGCGGTGTCCTTTACATAAAGTGTAACCTGGAACTTGTTTCTAACTCCAAAAAAACAGTTCTGTATCAGTCATTTTAGGAATATAATTTTAGCTTTATTTCGATTTCATCGAATTCAATTCAGTGATCCACAAAAAAATGTATTTCAAAGTAAATGTAAATTTTATTTCACAACCCTGTTACGTAGGATATCTCTGTCGCACATTGTCATAGCCGGGTGTAATAATCATGTACTAACACATGGATCATATACACATAAACTTGCATGAAAATACAATATACAAACAAAAAAGAGGGGTTGGTTGGTTGTTGCTGCCTGCCTGCCTGCCGGTTTGCCGGTATATAAACAAGTTTATATTTTTGCTTTTTCTTCATTTATTTTATTTTATTTCATTTCATTTTGTTTTTTTTTAGGAAAACGTATGATCTCTCATACAATTCTTTGTAGCTGGTAATATTCATCATCTACATCATCATCGTCTAAATATATTCATCAGCAACATGATTATTAAGTTTTATCATATGTTATAGTGTGCTGCTGTGTTTAATACCCAATTTATTGAGAAAGGGGATGTTTGACTCAGAATTCTTTTTCCATTTAAAATAATTTAATGAAAAATGTGTTTTGTTTTTGTTGTTAGAAGCAAAGCAATTCCCTATTTTATAGTGTTCTTGTTATATATTTTTATTTGTGTGGGGATATATTGGGGAGGTAAATTGAAAATTGTTTTGGAATAATTTATTACTCATGTATTCATGTAAAAATAAGTTGCGTTTATTTTATTTATTTTGTTTCTTTTTTTTTTTTTTTTTGATAATAAATCTGACCTTGAATGTTAATGATCATGGCGAATGGCATTAAATAAATAAATTTAATGCCATTTTCCAAAATATATATTACTTTTTATTACATTTAATTAAACGCCATGCCAACACAACCAGGTCTTAACTTTTGTTATCTGTTCATTTGCTAAAAGTTATAAACAATTAATCAAGTAATAAAAATTTCGATTCAAAGCTAAACTATTCAGTAGATTTTTTTGGTATTTCTTTTTAAATTTTGTTAATTTTTATTAATTTTAACAATTTTTCTAAAGCAAAATTAAAAACTAAATGTTGTAAATAGAAAGAAATTGCTTAAAAACTGTAAGTTTGTGTTTGCATGTTGGCCTGTGTGCTTTTTTAAGAAGAACACACTGTACTTAGTGGTAATTAAAGCAATTTACATATTTAAAAACTAGTTCAGGCGGAAAATACCAATTTTTACAAGAATAAAAAAATTTTATTATATATTTAAATATAATGCACTAAAAATATTACTGTAATGTTTTAATAATTCTGTGAATAGTAGTATATAAAAATAAATCTTATAATTTTGTTTCTGAAAAGCATTTTTCTGATGAAAATGAATTGTCTTTTTCTACCTCCCCAAAAAATTTAATAAAATTTAAAAAAAAAATATATACATGTCTACACGTACCTGTGAAAGATGGCCATCGGTATTATTCAACATCATCTCACTCATTTGTTGTTCCAAACCAGACATCGAGAACAATTGTTGTTCCTTTGTTTCTTCGAGCAAATGTTTCTCATCGGCTGTAGATGAGGGGCTCATGACGACATCACTAAGATTGGCTTGTTCAACACTTTCAGATACATCCAACTGAAGAGAGTCCATAACAGGGGCGGCAGAAACTTCATCGGAGATTTTGAATGGAGAAAATGATTCTTGAATTTCTTGTTGTTGCTCATGGGCTAAATGAGAGTTGTCTAGGAAACTGTCAGTGGCCACCAAAGGATTTGTGGTATCAGCTAAAATACTTTCATCATTTGCTTCGACAGTAGTTTGTTGAGTATCGGCCATGAGATCTTGGGGTGGTTGATCTTGAATTTGTAATTCATCTTGATATTGCTGTTGTACAGGTGTTTCCTCAGAGAATTTTTCCTGTTCTTGTGTTACTTCTTCGATGTGTTTCTCAACTTGATGTTCTTCTTCTTGGAAGTGTTGTTGTACTTCATGTGGAACTTCTTCGTTGGTAGTTTGTATTTCTTGTTGATGTTGTTCAACCGGCAAATCTTCTTGATGTTGTTCTAGTTCTAGTTGTTTTTCCTGTTGGAATTCATCCTTTAAGTGTTGTTGTTCTTCCTCGTGTTGTTCATGAGGCATATCCTTCTCAAAGTGTTGTTCATCTACTTGTTGCTGTTCCTGTTCAAAATGCTGTTCTTCTTGGTAGAATTTGTCTTGTTCTTGATGTTCTTCAGAGTGTTGTTGTTGATGCTCTTGCTCCATATACATAGATTCTTGCATATTATTGGCATTATCCATGTCAACGGGTAATTGTGGTATATCCTTATTCGAGGAATTAAGAGTGTTTTGTAAGTTCATTTGAATTTCCTCTGTAGAGGGTGAATGCGAGACATGTTCTTTTTCCTCCACCTGCAAGAGTTCTTTGTCGCCAGCCAATTGATTGGCAGCCGATTCTGTGGCGGATTCTTCTATAAACGAATTGTTGACACTATCGATTTCAGTGGGAATAGGCTGAACACTGTTCAAAACATCCTCAATAGCATCATCACTGGCCACATACATGGATCTCTTCATGACATCATCTTCAGCAGATAAAGCGGCCGGTTGCATATCTAAATCGGCATCAAGATCAACACAGGTTTCGGGACCGTGATCAATAAAGCCAGAAGGCTGGAAATCAGTGGAATCTGTAGGTTCGCAATTTTCTTTATCTTGCTCTCCTACTAGATCGTCGTGTGGTAATTGTTGTATGGCCTGATCGGGTGTCATGACTTCATCTCTTTGTTGGAAGCCAACAACATTTCCTGGCTCAAATTCATGGGGTCGTTTTTCTGCTTCTTGCTCGAATTCTGACAATTTAGGCACCGAAACAGCGTCCATGCTATTGTCACATTTGCCTTTGCGGGGACTTTGGGCCACAAAGTCATCATCTCCCAAGAGATGACGTGGCACAGCACTGGGAGCTTGACCGAAATACATTTGAGTTTCCATAGCATCACTTAATAAAGGTTCATTTTGCATTTGCATGCCTGTGGCAAAGGGAGATGTGGGTGAAGCAGGATTAGAGCCAAAACTGGGTATGAATTCCTTAGCATCAGGGTTAAGTTGGGAGTGGGCCTGTTCCAAATCAAGTTCAGTTGGTCGTGGAGCTGTTAAGGGATCTGAGTTTTCTTTGTTCTCCAAATTGGACATAAAATCATCAAATGCATTTGCTTGCTGTGGTGCCGCTTCCGCAGCATTAGTCTGTGGGGGAACATTTTCACTCAAACTGCTGGTGCCATTTGTAGTGTTTGTGGCCAAAGAGGAAGGTTCCTCTTCATCGACCATTTCTTGTTGATGTTCTGCCTTTGTTTCAATTTTGACATCCACCTGGGGAACAAAGCCTTCGACAGATTCTGTAACATTGGAGGTGGAGGAGATATCTCCCTCGTTTTTAAAACCATCCATTTCGCTATCCATCATATTAAGCTTTTCTTCAAATCCAGAGGAAACAATGTTGCCAAAATCTTCATGACCATTGGTATCATGACCATTGCCCAAATTAAACAAGTCATGATGTGGTTGCTGTTGTTGTGGCTGATGATGATCTCCACCGAAAACAAAACCGCCATCTCCATTGCCAAACTCGTAAGCTGCATTGTTGGTAGTTTCTTTTTCTGCCAACTCATTGCTTTCGTATGTACCAACATCATCATCATTGTCGTCTAGGCCCAAGTTTTTCAACGTTTGCAGCTGTTGTTGCTGCAGCTTTTCGCTCTGCTGCACTTCTTTAACGTACTTGAGTTCGTCGTCATCGCCAACATCGTGTTCTTCGTGATGTTCATCGTATTTAACACCCAAGATCTCTCCGGCAACACCAGCAGTTACAACTTCTCCTGGTACACCTCCTCCTACTACTGCATCACAGCCGGCACTGGCAACATTCACATTCATGTGCTGCATACTGTTGTTATCCATCATGTAGTTTTGTCTGTTTTCCAAAAATTGATCCATGATTTCTTGGTTCTCCATTGCAGATTCTTTTCAAAAAATAACTTTTAATAAGATTTCAAATGCGCACAACACAAAAACAGTTTTCTGTTTTATTTTATTTTTTTCACAAGTCCTTTTTATACGACTTTTTTATTGCTCTCCTTCTTTCAACTCTCTTTTTCTCTTTTTTTTTTTAATAAAAACTTTATGTTGTTTTATTTTTTAGGTTAATTTCTCTTTTTACTGTCCTGCGCTAAATTATTTTAAAGTTGTTTTATTTTATTTGTTCTTCAAGTTTCTTCAACTCCTTTTTTACAATTTCTGTTTTTTTTATTTTATTCTTTAAGCTGTAAAATATTAAATTTTTTTAGAAATAAAATCTAAACGCATAAATCAAAATAATTTTTCATTTAGATTTTATTTTTCTTATTTTTGCAAATAACTTTTTATAAGATTCCTCAAAGATTTCAGTTGATTTTTCTGATTTAAATTGTACGCGTGATTCACCTTTTTTAAATTTCGCAAATTCTCTTTTGAAATTCCTTCTTTTTATTTCTTTATTATACCTCCTCTCTACTACATATATTTTTTCTTTTTGCACACTTTTTTATATAGACGAAAAATTTACACAAAAGTTAATTTTTTTCTTAAACTCTTTGAGTTAGATTTGCAAAAATAACAAAAAATTCGCAATAAATAAATGTGAAAATTGTTTAAACAATTTTTTGCAACACACACACACAGTTTAAATACTCTGCTTTTGTAAACTTTTTTGTTGTTGATGATTCTGGTATACAAGAACAAATATTTGCCGACTTCCGCAGCTGCCGTCCTTTTTCTTCAACGAACGCGAATTGAATATTGAAAAATTCAACGAATGCGAATTGAATTTGGGTGGTGAACACCAGAGACCTGCGCCGACAAATATTAACGACGGCTGTCGAAACTAAAAATTTCGCCGGCGGCTTAAAATCGAATGTGAGCCGGCTAGTATGTTAGTTTGAAGGAGTTACATGAAATACGAAATACACCTAAGCCTCTATAGGGCTTGTTGACCGCTCCTTAACCAGTGCCTCAGGTGGGAATCGAACGAATAGAACACTTAACTACTGAAGCTGGCTAAGTTTTCAGTTATTTTAAAATTTTCAACGATTTTAAATAAAAACGGAAGCCGAGAGATTAAAAAGTGGGAAGTTGAAAGCAAATATTTTAAAAATCAGTATTAAGGGATTAAGCCGTTAAGGCTTTTATATTTCGTTCTTTGAATAAATAAAATAAATAAATTTGTATTCGTAATACTATTTTATTTATTTCTCTCAAGATTAATTTTAACTCATTTCACGAGATTAATTTTTAAACTCTTCATTTGAAGTCATTGAATTTTATTTTTATTTTTACAAAAAATCTAGCAATATTATGTTTTTGGATGCGGCTTTAAACACCCTTACAAATGAAATATACTAACGTTTTAAAAATATTTAAAAAATAGTTTTTTGATAATTGGTCCAGCTCTAAAATGGTCATCGCTAGACTTAAAATATTTTGGAAATTATAAAAAATATTAAATTATTTCGTAAAAAGTTGGTTTCTTTATGAAATTTGAATTTAACCGCTGACATATCGACATTATATTCTTATTACATAAAAGTGCTGCCAAGTTTTACAAAACTTTAAAAAAGGTGAGAAATCGGCAGAGGAATAATAACTTTTAACTATTTTTATTTTTTTTAATTTCCTAAATAAAAGTAAAACTTTAATGGCAATGAAAAAAACTTTTCTTTTACTTGCTTTTTTAAGTATTTTAAACACGCTACATTCCTCAAACAAATCAACAAACTAGCAACACTGGCAATAGCTGCCCAACATATTTAATTTATATAAGATGTTTTTACGTTCCTGGTGAAATGTCAAATTACTTATACAAAAAATATGCGTCTTAACGCTACTCTGTCAAACTACATATTAAAAAAATTATAAATTCTCTTCTGCTGTCAACTCATTAAACTCGCTTGTTATACATTATACATGTGTTTTTGTTTACTGTCATTCACTCACATCCATTTTTTAATAAAACTCCACGTGAAAAAGGGCAAAAAAGTTTTTGTATTTAAATATGAAGAAAGTAAAAAATACTGAATCAAAAGTAATTAATACTTCATTGGAAAGCGTCAAAGAAGGTAAAGTTAAAAAGAATAAACCAAAAAAAGAAAAGAAACTTAAAGATGCAGTAGCAAAAACAGAAGATCTAAATTTGGCTCCAAAAATCGAGAGCACCAACCTAAAGCCCAACAATAGTGCTGCTGATAAAACCAAAAATAAGAACAAGAAAAATAAAAATAAACCAGCTAAAACGGAAGAAAATGAAAAACCAGCCGCACAAGCAACACAAAAAGAAGCAAATGATGAAAAACCAAAAAAGCAAAAGCCTACCAAGAAAAACCTCACTAAAGAGAAGAAATCAGAAGCAGAAACTCCCGTTCCCACTAAAGCACTAAACGATGAAGAACTTAAGAAAGTTGAGAAGAAAAAAGCCAAGAAATTGGCACAAAAATTAAAGAGGCAACAAAATAAAGCTGAAAATAGAGCGATAAATGTAAAGGTAGTTACAACAAATGGAGAAAAGAATGTCCCCACCAGCAATAAGGACTTGTCAAAGAAGGAAAAAAAGATTGAGCAGAGGCAATTGTTAAAAAAACAAAAAGCTGAGAAAAAAGCGAAAAATGTTAAAGCTGCTGAGAGCGCGCCCATAAAAATTGAGCAAAAGAAAGTGGACCCCACCAGCAGTATGGTATTGTTAAAGAAGGAAAGAAAAGCTGAGAGGAGACAATTGTTAAAGGAACAAAAAAATGCCGGTAAGTTAGAAATACTTTAAAAATTAGTCTACATATTTAGTAATCAACAAATTTAAACAGAAAAACAAACAAGAGACCCCGCAATGGAAGCCGCTACAGTATTTGTGGGAAATTTACCACCGAATACAAAACGTGTGCAAATAATACGTTTATTTAAGGACTTTGCCCCTATCAACTCCATACGTCTACGTTCCGCTGGTGGGCAAGTCTTGTTTAAACACAAACAACGCAGGACTGCAGGTGCTTTGAATGCTTACGTAGTGTTGAAAAGCAAAGAAACAGCTGAAAAGGCTACCACACTAAATGGCGTGGAGTTCAAAGGCCATCATTTAAGAATTACATTAGCTGCTAAAAATCCTCAAAGTCACGAAAAGGAGCAAGCCAAGAAGACTGTATTTGTAGGAAATCTTAAATACAGTAAGTTTTATAACGTTTAAAAAGTATTTCGAGCAAATAATCTTTAATTATTTTATTATAGCTGCTACTGAGGAGTCGCTACGTGAAATATTCAGTAGTTGTGGCGAAATTGATTATGTACGCTGTATACGGGACGGTGATAAAGGTTGTAAAGGTGTAGCCTATGTGTGCTTTAAAACTGCGGATGCTGTTGGTTTAGCTTTAGAACTTAATCAGACTATTGTGGATGAACGTCCCATAAATGTAGAACGTTTTAGTGTTAGGAAATTGGGCGCTAAAGAAGCTCGCGATGCTCAAGCAGAAAGAGAAGAAAAATCCCAAAAGGGAGCCAAAAAAAGAATTGACAACAAAAAAGGTGGTAAAAAAGATAAAGCAGGTCCTAAAAAGACCTCCAATAGTAAAGGTGTTGACGGCGAAGAAGCCAAAAAGCCCAAGAAGAGTGAATTTAGAGGTGTTAAGGTAGAGGGCTTAAAGAAGAAACCCAAAACAAAGAAGAAAAAGTCCAATGACCAAATGCAGCTGTTGGCGAAGAAAATTGCTCCTAAAGTTAAAACGGAATAAAATGAGTTATGCAAAGCCATCTTATTTTACAAAAAAGTAATTTGTAAAACTTCCCAAATAATTTAGTTAAATAATGGTAAGTATATATAACCATTATCATTGTATATTTAGACAAATTTATAACGTTGACTTAACTTTTAAAAACTCTGAATAAAAACTATTTTTATAAATCCTTCATTTGTTACAAAATGAACAAACACTTTTAAAGCATGGCTAATTGTTTTCTTAATTTCTGTTGTATGTCCTGGGGAAATGTGTTGGCTACTTTGCGAACACAACTTAAACAATAGGAATTTATATAAAAGAAACTACATTCACTATCCTTACAAACTACCTTATCGCATAATTTACAATGGCCTCCTAAGGCCACAAAATATTCTGCCTTAGGCTTCCATCTGGGTGGTGGTGCTTGAAATGGATCTCTCATTAAGTAGGTGGGTTCATTGAATTTTATACCAAATACAAAATTCGGCTCCAAACCAAAATAATGCACCATTTCCTCCATATCACAACTGGAGCAATGGAACTTTATTTTAGCAATACGTTCGTCATCTTGTGGTTTTTCTTCTTGATCGTTAGCTTTTGTATTATCGTTGGATTCCAAAAGTTCTATTTCAGCTTTATCATTTTTAATATATAATTCCAAATTGCCATCATTTGTGTCGTTGTGATGTTTTTTGAGAGATTCTTCCTTAAGCGTTTTAGAACAGGAAGGTTTTGCACTGTCAAATGACATTTTCTGTAAGAAAATAAATGAAGATTGCTGCTGAAGATACGGAATATATGTATATTATATGTAGGTGGCTCAGAATAAACAATTTTTAAAACTAAAGACAGATAGATAAATAGAATTTGAATTTTTGCAAAAAAAATCTTCTACAACAATAAAAATTTGTCTAATTTATTTTCGAATACATTTTTATTTCTTTTAATAACAACTATGGAACAAAAACAGATTTATTTTTTATCTTTGGCTTTGACATTCTTAATTTGATATCAAATATCTTTGCGTATATCTTTAGCTACATTTGAGTGCAATTCTTGGGGCCACCATTGAGGTTTCTCTGTAGAACAGGCGCTACCATTGACCAATAACTCCTTGGCTTTTAAAACATTTTCCACACGCAATAGACCAAGAGCACGACCGGCTGTGCTGCCATAAATTGTACCACAGTTTGCTCCAGATTCATTGTGAACTGTGGCGGTGGAGGCGTCTGCCGGCAGAGGAGCAGTTAACTTGACTGGCATATGACGTTTGCGAATCATTCCGGTATGATGGACACGGGCTGTTAGTTCTTGGCCTATATAGCAGCCTTTGTGGAAACTAACACCATTTAAAATATCACAATTCGCCTCCAAGGGAAAACATTTGCCGGGAGGCATATCAATTACACCCTCTGCTACTCCTAGAGTATATCTGTGAGTACGGAAATTGTTGTCCTCTGAAGCTGCTGTTACTTCACGTTTGAATAGTTGGGAAAGATCGGAAAAAGTTTTATCACTAGTGGTCAACAAACGTAAGCCCAATTGTTTAAGTCTAGGATCTGTGCTAAAGGTTAAATCATTGATTCCTTCGGGGTTTAAGGCAGCAGCAAAATTTTGTGTTTGCTCATTGCAATCAAATGCTTGCCATACTTTGTATTCCTCAGCCATGGAGTCTATATCAATTTTGCGTCTTACTCTATAAAGTCTTAAATGACGTTGCAATTCATTCGCTACATTTTTATCACAATCAATAAGAATCCTTGTGGGTTCTGAGGTGCTGTACAAGATGGTATCATACATAACACGTCCAGCTTTATTTAGGAACATGGCATAGATGGCCTTATTTGAAGAGGGATGTAAATGTTTAATATCATTTGTTATGAGACCCTGTAGAAATGGCACAACTTCATCACCCTTAACTTGTATAAGTTGTCGTTCTGTTAAGGGTTCTAAAATAAGTTTTTCTTTTGTGTTTACGGTTGTTGATGTTTGTATACATCTATGTGATAACCATTTCGGAGAAATTTGTTGTAGCCGGTTAAGATTACGCATTATATTCATTATGTAGCCAGGTCTGATTTTCGTTTTAGGTGATAGATAATACGGTTGTGATAACTGCTTTTAAAGTTGGAGGAGGGTTTTCAGTGAAAAAATTCTAATAAATGGAAATATATTTAAGTTACTCACATTTGTAGTTGTTAATAAAATGATTTTATTTTGGTGATGAGAACGAAATATATTAATCTAATGAAATCTGTATATTTTTATAAGTTGTTGTTTTTATTTTTTTCACTTTATTTTAGAAACTCAGCTGTTTATAACGCTGCCAGATTTCAGTGATATTTAAAGCATTTTAAAGTTTCTAAAATCGCTAGTTCAAAATTTCCACCTTATAAGGTGAAGTCATTTCATTTTGCAGAGAATTCATGAAATTTTTTATCTATGTATGGGGTTTGAAAGCGTCGGTTTTGAGAGAAAATCTTTTAATATGGAGTTGACATCTTCGCGCTAAATTTACATGGACAAAAAAAACAATCAGCTGTTGAAATGACTTCACCTTATTAGTTTCGCCATGGTCTAGTTATAGGCTATTCACTTATTGACACAGGGTATACAGAGGCGTCTCGAGCAAAAAACTAATTCCCTCTCTTTCGCACAAAACCATTTCAATGATTTTTTTACCTGTATTTTATATATCTCTTCTCACAAAACAATTTCAAAATCAAAAAAGCTGATTTTAGACTTTTTCACATGTCAAAAGTGACACCTCTGTATACTTTGTGACGTCGATTTAACCAAGTCCGTCGTCCCGCCTGTCCGTATTGTTATTGAAATCAGTTTACAATAGACTACAGATATCTGCAAAATCGAGAAGTTCGCTATTTAAAACTAGCAATATCGCTCCATAAAAAATCAAGATGTGATAAAAATTCCTCTAGAATATCGGCATTACCACCAAATTTTGCATGTATACATACATATAACTTTAATATCAATAGAAAGCGCATTACCAACTAAAACCTGGATCGGTCCATAATTGAGCTATGGTAACACATTAGTAAATCAAGGTCTACATCAGTAAATCAATTAATCGAACATAATTCATTAACAAATAACCTTATCGGGACAAAATTTGACACGAATATGTTCATACAAAAATTATTCGGCGAAATTTGTTCCATATCGGCACACTTCTGAAAATCATTTAATCGTAAATAACTCATTACTTAATTATGATGTATGTTCATCCATAATCGGTCCCTAATTGATATAATCGGTCCATAATTGACCATAGCTCCCATATATAGTCCACTTCCGAAAATCACTTAGTCGTAAATAACTCGTGAATTAATAATGATTTCAAGATAAAATTCTACATGAACATATTTTGTATATATAGGTGCAATTAGGATTCGCTATTGTTTTTTTTTTTTTGTAATTTAAAACTTTATCAAGGGTCACTGTAAGTAAATTTTCTATATAGAACTCTGTATTTTTGACCTTTGGAATGCTATTTAATTGAAATATCGATAAATTATGAATAATTTAAGTGTTATAGGTATTTTATGTCATAGTGAATGATAATGCAAAAATACACCCTTAAGTGGAAACAAGTCACACAAAAATGTTTAAAGCAAATATTTACACTAAAAATTAATAAATCGTTATTGCTTGACATAAGCAAATATATAAATCTGTATACGTTTAACCCTCATTGATTGGAACAGGCTCGTATCGTATTTTCTAAACAAATGTCCACATTTGTAATCAAATATCATCATAATTTTGAGTAGGTTTTTACTGTAAAAGAATAGTCTTTAAAGTCCTTGAACTTTATTATTGTTAATTATTAATATTTGTTTAATATTGGTTTTTATTGAAAAATGCATAATATAATAAATGTTTTTCTTTAAAAACTATTCTAAAAAAAACTTTATGAAATTCAATTTCAATTAGGCTGATCACTTGCTGCTGTTCTTTTTTCCATATAACCAACAAACTAATAAATTTACTTGTTGGCCAATATTTCAAACTTGATGCCATGTTCATGTTTCTCCAACTCACTTATCAAGCTAGTCTTGGCAAATGCTGCTCCTGGTGGTAGAACACCTCCTGATCCAGGCATTTTGTCACTTTCCTTTAGAACAGTAAGAGCACTGCAAAGCAATGCAACACATGTAGAACCATAACCAGGGTTAGGACCGGACACCTTAACCATTAATGATTTCGAGGGTGGATTGGTGTATTGATCGGTGGGTTCTGCCAAACGCTCCGATTGAGGCCAACCCAATGCTTTCATGGTAATGGAAAAGTAGGTCCTTTCCATGGCGGCCTCTGTGGGACCTTCATGTGAGGTAAAGCCCAATGAGAAAATTTTAGGATATTTCAACAACAAACGACGGCCTAAGGAAAATTTGGTCATAAGACCAAATAATACCGCAAAGAGAGCCACCAAGGAGGCGGTTAAATATGAGCCAAATGCTACATAAGCATGCATTTGTACCGGACGTTTGCGTTCCTGTTCGTACAGAAAACGTTGAGAACGCATTACCACTGAACGATCAGCGCCCGGGAAGGGTAAACATACTTTGTTGACGACTTCCGAACGGAAAATAAGAGGACGATTTTTAAGTACGGGCTGAAATTTGGGCAATCTTTCACTGTACAATTGGGAGCGTATGCCACGCAACTCGCTGGCATGAGCCAAACCATAAACAGCACTTTCCCAAGTGCCATAATGAATACCTGCCCCTCCTGTGGGACCGCCTTTAGTGTAGCTCTTCAAATACGTTTCAACAGAATTAACAACACCATCAAAGTTCTTCTCTATAAACACTACACCCATATCGGCTGGTATGGAATCAAAACCACAGGCCGAGATAATATAAACACCCTTCTCCTGCGCCTTGGCATGATATTTCAATTGCATGGTCTCCATATACTGAGGCTCACCGCTAACGTCGACATGATGAGTACCAGCCTCAATGCAAGCACGTACTACAGGCTCGCCATAAAAGCGATACGGTCCACATAAATTGACCACCACACGACAACGTTTAGCCATTTCTACTAGCGACTTTTCATCATTAACATCGGCTATAATAATGGGTGTATCCATAAGATTTTTATTGGCTTTTGTGCCCATATCCTTAAGCACGGCTTCCAATTTGTCACGATTGCGACCGGCAATACCCCAGCGAATGTTTTCCAATACCGAGCAAGCTTCATAGACGGTATATTTGCCGGTAAAGCCAGTAGCACCAAATATGATGACATCCAATTTGTCTGCAGCCATATTGCTGTTGTTGGTTATTGTTAGTTTTAATATTAATTAAAAAAACTTTCTTATCACCGGCTGTTTGCTGATTTGGTTAAATAATTTACGAAACAAACTTGTTCTTTTTGATTGTTGCAAATTGACCTTTGACTTTTTGCTGCTGAGTGTGCAAATAAAAAAAGATTTTGCAATATGTAGATTTCTAAAAATAAAGGAGTAACACAATATTTCTTACCTTTAGGAGGTGTAACGGGAGAGTAGGTTGTGTATGTATAAACTATTTTTTGTGGAATGTTTAGTTTTTTACGCAGTTTTGTTTTTATTTAAAGCTGATGATGATGATGAGTACCTCCTTCTTTCTTCCAAGTTCCCTTTAATTAGCCGGTTAGATATGGAACAGCCACTAATGCCAGATGTGAAGAAATTTCACTATTTCGCATCCAATTTATCTGGCAACTAAGAAACAACCATGGTGGAATAATAACCCATAAGAACAGTGGCAGTCATTTGACTGGCAACTGCTGATGGATATATCCATCATATCGTAAAACAAAGTAGATAGATAGATAGATAGATAGATAGATAGATAGATAGATAGATAGATAGATAGATAGATAGATAGATAGATAGATAGATAGATAGATAGATAGATAGATAGATAGATAGATAGATAGATAGATAGATAGATAGATAGATAGATAGATAGATAGATAGATAGATAGATAGATAGATAGATAGATAGATAGATAGATAGATAGATAGATAGATAGATAGATAGATAGATAGATAGATAGATAGATAGATAGATAGATAGATAGATAGATAGATAGATAGATAGATAGATAGATAGATAGATAGATAGATAGATAGATAGATAGATAGATAGATAGATAGATAGATAGATAGATAGATAGATAGATAGATAGATAGATAGATAGCTCGTCGCTCGCTCGCTCGCTCTCTCGCTCTCTCTCGCTCGCTCGCTCGCTCGCTCGCTCGCTCGCTCGGCTCCTCGCTCGCTCTCGCGCTGCTTCGCTCGCTCGCTCGCTCGCTTCGCTCGCTCGCTCGCTCGCTCGCTCGCTCGCTCGCTCGCTCGCTCGCTCGCTCGCTCGCTCGCTCGCTTCGCTCGCTCGCTCTCGCTCGCTCTCCTCTCGCTCGCTCGCTCGCTCGCTCGCTCGCTCGCTCGCTCGCTCGCTCGCTCGCTCTCTCGCTCGCTCGCTCGCTCGCTCGCTCGCGCTCGCTCGCTCGTCGCTCGCTCGACTCCAGCTAGCCTTTGCTGCGCCCGCCCCCCCCCCGGTATTTCTCGTGAAGCACATATAAAAGAAACGAATTTTCTATGCACATCCTGTTACAGGTTAATTACAATTGGAACCACAACCGCTGTCGACAATGAGTTTGTATGGAGAACAAAATCGTCTTGTAGTTGGCGATATTGCGGTTGAGATAGATTCTATTTTATTTTGTCTTATTTTCATGTTGTAACGTTGCCATATGTTCATAATATTTTGCTAAAAATCTTGAAAAATTGCAAAAACAGAGGTTTCATAATGGGCATTTTTCGCCATGTGTTATTATTAACAGAAGATATTATATTAAAATAATAAAAATTAAAATGCGAAAACATATTGTTTTATTTCTTTTATTTTATTCTGAATAATTTTTTAACCATTCCTATTATTTCTTAAAAATAATTCTTATTTTAAACAAAAACATCATTTTGCTTTGATTTTTTCTAATAAACGACAGAAAATGTGGTTTGTCGACAGTCGCTTAATTTTAATTCGTCGCTCGCTCTTTTTTTGTGGTTTGTCGACAGCGGTTCCAATTGTAATTAAGATGCAACGAATTTTCTGTACACAACAGCATTCTCTCTCAGAGAGAGAATTTACTTTTTTAAATATTATGTTATACTGCGCCATCTATGTTCATTAAAAAATTAAATGTAAAAATTAAAGACACTTTTTATTGGTTTAATTTTATACTTACTATAAGATGATGCAGTTTGCGAGACATGTCTCAGCTGTATTCAATGATGATGTTTTTTGGGGAAACTATGGGGATTTTCAATTAAAAATGGGAATTTTTTGCGGACTTCTAGCCTTAGATTGAGGACATGAGTATACATTTTTATGACTACACGCTTTTTTTCTATTTTTTTTGTTGTTCGGTATTATTAGTTTGTCTATTCGACATTTAAACGAAAAAGGAATATGGTAATTAATTACTAATTATGTTGAACAAAAAGCAAAACAATATATGAACCGTTTTACCGTATGTTACTGCTTTACCAAAAACACTTGGTTGTTGTCATCACTAAGTATATTTAAAACATTTTCCAATTACAAGATGTCACCATTGCATAATTTACTACGCCGTTAATATTTTCAATTGATCAACTTCGATTTCTTAGCTGCTGACAATAAATACAACCCTGTTTGTTTTAGTTTTTTTATGTCAAACACACATCCATTCAGAGTATTTTTTCTTCTCGGTTTAGATTCTTTTCGTTTCGTTTAACCTTTTAGTTTTTATTAAAATTTATTTATTATTTTTATGTTAAAATCAATAAAATTACTTGCAACAAGTGCACGATATTGTGTTTAAATGAAAACAATACGAATTTAATGTTTTATGTGAAATGTAAACATAGAAAAAATGTTTTGAAAAAAGTAAAGTTTCTAATATTACCGATGATGGTGCTGTGGCTGGTTGGTGGCTGCTCAACTTTTTTTATTTTAATCAATTTATGTGTGTAAAGAAAAATCAAGTAAAAAAGCAAAGCCTCCGCCTTCTAGAAACGCGTTTTGTTGTGTCTGTGTTTTTAGTTTATTTTTTTCGTTGGTCTTAAAAAAAGAAAAAATAAATCTGTGTGTTTATACTTGTTGTTGGCTCTGTGGCTGGATAGAGTGAGTGGCTGGCTGGCAGACTGACTAGCTGAGTTTTCGTGTGTTTGCTGGCTGACTGACTGTTGTTTTAGTTAGCCAAAATAGAAGTTTATAGTAATTGTGGGTAAAAATAATATTACCACCACTACAACAACAATAAACTGCTCTAGCTTAGTGTAAGAAAGTGTAAGCTGCCTGTGCTACCTTTATATTTTGTGGTTGTTTGGTTACTACCACACTTCTCTTCTTATTGCTTGCTAGCTGCTGCTGCAGCAGCATCACACCAAAAAACAGGATCAAGATTAGTTTAACCGCAAACGAAAAAAAAAAATCAATTTCAAGTTTACACCGCATACATCATCATCTACGATCCATACGAATAAAAACAATAACAACAAGAGAACTTTAATATCCATACACCACATCCACGAAAAGTTGTAAGAAACAACCAACAAATTGATAGTATTTTCTTTTTTTAAAACTAGAGAGAGGTGCCCACTTTTTTCTTGGAGTTTGTATATGTATACTAGCTTCTTTCGTGGTCGCTCGATAAAGTGCACTACGACATCAAGCCCACAAACAGCAACATCAACAAGCAACAGTAAAAGTATTTGTGTCAGACTTGTTGGCATAATATTTCAACCATCCATCCATCAATTCATCTATCTAATTTATCAAAAAAAAGAAAAAAAAAAAACTTCCAACCAAACGTTTGATCGATTAAAGCAATAAAATAAACTTTTCAACCTTTTAGCTGTTCTACTACTCACTACTACTACGTGCAAACTTGGTTAATGTCTCTTCAGTTCAATTTATATATCGTGTTTATTTCTGTTTGTTTGAGATCTTCTTCAGCATTATTTGTTAATTAACCGTTCGTCGTCTGTTTCTGTGTGTGCGTGTGTCATTGTGGAATAACAAACAATATGTTGCGTTTTCTAAGCCGCCGTAAAGCTCGCAACAACTATGCGGATAACTCTGCTGGTGCCAGTGGCAGTGGTCATGATCGCCCAGATGCCAGAGGTCCCTCAGTAGCAGGTGGTGGTGCCACTTCATCTCATATAAAACCACAACGTATACCAGTTAATAAGAATAAAATAGATTGTCGTGTTATATTACTGGATAATACAGATCTATCCATTGAATGTTCGGTGAGTATACTTCAATATGTATTGGGATTTTCAATGAATTAAATTTTATATGTATGTAGCTGTTGCTGACAAAAAACTTTGTTAGTCTCATTTTTCAACGTTTTTACTTATTTTTCATTTTATTTTAAATTGCTCACTATTATTACGGTTACAATTTGTTTAACAAGAAATTGCTAAATTTCTTTACTTTGCATTTTTTTTTTCAAAATTCTTGACCTACGAGAATATAAAATTAATATTGTTTTTATAGACATTGTTAATGTTTATACCTAATTATTTGTAAAAAAAAATAGCCCGCGACCGACTGGTTTTATATTTGAAATTTGTTTAATTTCATTTTGTCTATTGATATGCTAATTTTGTGAAATTTTATAGTAGTGTTTTTTCCTTTTATTAGTTTTCTTGTATGTTTATAGTTTAGTTCATTCAATACAATCGAAAAATGTTAAAGTTTGAAGTTCTCTCGCAAATGTTTAGAAATCTTGTCATGATACAAGGGCTTAAAAATGTAAGGATTTCGATTGTATAGCGACTAACTGATGCCCATACCAATCAGTATAGTTTCCATAAAGGTTAGACAAATTTTGTCTGCTAGCCCGCTATAGCACTTGTCCATTGTTTACATTGATGCTTGAGTATTTTTTTTAACAATTTTTTAATTTCGAACTTAAAAATTTAGTTTCAGAATTAAAGCTTTTATGATATGTTCGAAAATTTTGTAATTTTATGAAAGTTTAAGTTCTGACTTTTTTAAAGCTTTTAAGTTTGATATATTTTTGAAGATAATCTTCTTAGGTTAGGTTAGATTGATAGAAGGATGTATCTACATAAAATCCGAAGAAATACACCTAGGCCACTATCGGGCATTAAGATAATCTTCTTTGTTAATAAGTATTTGGTATCTAAAAATAATTTATTCAAAATAGCTTTTTGTGAAAACTTTTTAAAAATGTTTAGGAAAGAGCCTTTAAAGAAAATAAAAAGCTTCTTAATGAAATTTAGATAAATGCTTTGTGGTGTTAAAGCTTTTTTTGTAACGCTGTGGAAAGCTGCGTTTTGAATATAAAGCTTTTTGTAAAGCTTAAGCAGAACTTTTCTATTTTCAAAAAACTCTTTAGAAACGCTTTGAAATAAAGCTTTTTTCTAAAGCTCGTAATAACAAAAGAAAAGCTTTTCTTTGAACAGAACTAGACATAATTTTATAAAAACTTTGTATTATTAAAAAAAAAAAGTTTAAGATGTGACGATTAAAACGTTCTTTAATACCGCAGAATTTATGAATAAAACATTATTGTTATGATTATAATTTTTATTGATTTATACTTTGATGTGAACGCTAATTTATTGAGAATATATCTCGTAAAATGTTTTTAATAAAAACTATTTAATTTGATAATTAATTAAATAAGAATACATAACTCAAATATAACAAAAGTTTATCAAACATTAAAATTGATTTCTTTCTTTTTATGAGTGGTTGTTGTTCTAAAACTATCATAAATCTCATTATGGATTCTTTGTTCGTAAAATTTTTATCTAAAAAGGTAAATTTTAATCAACAAAATTTATGCCTTTTAAACATAATTGTTGAATGAAATGAAATAATTTCAATCCTGTCTTGTTTTTAAGATATACACGAAAAACGCCCCTAAATTTCAATAAATACTACTGCAATTTGCCTATTTACTTCTTACCTCGAACATTTTTTATTAAATATATTTCTGAAATTTATTACTTTTTAATTATTTTAATTTTTCCAAACTAATTTTTTATTATTATTATTTTTTTACAGAAAAAAGCAATGGGCAGTTTTCTATACGAACAAGTATTTTATAATTTAGATATTATAGAAAAAGATTATTTTGGATTGCAATTTATGGATGCTAATCATGTTAAACATTGGCTAGATCCCACCAAACCCATTAAGAAACAAGTTAAAAGTAAGTTTTATAAACATAAGCAAAAAAAATGTTAACATTTTACTAATGTAATATAAAAATTACAGTTGGTCCACCCTATACATTCCGTTTAAAAGTGAAATTTTATTCCTCCGAACCGAATACTCTACGTGAAGAATTAACACGTTATTTATTCTTTTTACAATTGAAACATGATTTACTAGAGGGGCGTTTAGATTGTCCCGATGATAAGGCCACCGAATTGTGTGCCTTAGCTTTGCAATGTAAGTGTTATAATAAACAATAGTAAACAAAGAAAAAATAATAATGTTTCCCTTTATTTTAAACAGCCGAATTAGGAGATTATGATGAACATGTTCATACAGCAGCCACTGTTTCAGAATTTCGTTTTGTGCCCGAACAAACTGAGGAATTGGAAATTGATATTTTAGAGGAATATAAAACCTGTCGTGGTTTAACACCAGCTCAAGCTGAAACAGCATTTTTAAATAAGGCCAAATGGCTGGATATGTATGGTGTTGATATGCATACTGTTTTGGTAAGTAGTTGTGTTTAAAAATTTAAAAATGTTTATATTATTTAAACAATTACAGGGCAAAGATGGCTGCGAATACCATTTGGGTTTGACCCCCACTGGCATTTTAGTGTTTGAGCGTGATCAAAAAATAGGTCTCTTCTTTTGGCCCAAGATTAGCAAATTGGATTTTAAAAAGAAAAAATTAACACTTATTGTTATCGAAGACGATGATGAGGGTCGTGAACAAGAACATACATTTGTTTTTCGCCTGTACAATGAAAAGGCCTGCAAACATTTATGGAAATGTGCTGTAGAACATCATACCTTCTTCCGTTTAAGAGCTCCCGTTAAAGGTCCCTCAGCTAGACAAAACTTCTTTCGCATGGGTTCACGTTTTCGCTATTCTGGACGTACAGAATTCCAGGCCACCGTACAAAGTCGTGCTCGACGTACCGTGCAATTTGAACGTAGACCTTCACAGCGATTCGCCAGTCGTCAATCCCACTTATTGCGTGAAAGACAAAAAGCTTCACAAGAGAATGCTGCCTCTGCTTTGGCTTCAGTTAATGCTAGAGCTGCAGCTGCCGCAGCAGCAGCGTCCACTTCGCCTCAAACTACTGAAAATTTAAATAGTACAGTAGATTCGATATTATCAACAGCTACTGTAGATAATCAGCCAACAATGAATACCATAACACCATCACCCTCTATACAGACGGTCATACACAATACGTCTGTGGCCTATGATGATGCCATATGTGGTAGTTCGGTACATTCAGGTTCACAACAAAATGCATGCGCTTCATTAGGCCGTAATTCGATAAGATCGAATTCGAGTACTGATGATCCGGCTTATAGTAAAATTGGTTCATTTGGTAAAGCTGGTCTAACTGTGAAGTAAGTAGAATTTATTTTTATATATTTACAAATTAATACTTATTTTATTGATTAATTTTTTTATTAACTCTAGATTGGATACTGAATGTGCTGGTGCTAGTAGTATTGCTCCTTATTCACCTAATAATACTAAGAATTTTGAAGAGACCAATCCCTTCCGCAACAATACTTCGCATAACAATTCATTTGGCAAAGCTTCTATACATTCAGGACTTAGGTATGTTTATTTTTTTTTTTCTTTAATATTCCTCATAAATTAAACACTACATTTGCTTTTATTATGTTTATAAGTATATCAGCAGTGAAATTAATTTTATGTTTACAAACCATTTAATTATATCTTTTATTTTTGGCATTGTTTCAATATTTTTACAAACTATCAGCCATCATCTATTTAAGTATTTTATGTTAAAACTTACATGTGTTTTCATTTATATTTTATTTTTCTCATTTCTTATATTAAGAAGTATGTAGTCAGTTGCGCTTTATCATTCATTATTAATTTTGTATATATCATTTTTTTTTAATGTTGTTGTCATTTATGTTATTTGTTTTTGTTATATTTGTATACAGCATTAAAAGTGGCTTGTCGGATAAAGATAAAGAGCTAGATTCATTACTAAAGTCCATAGTTAAAGACCCATCCCCATCTGTTTTAGCCACTGAGGCCATTAATGATGCTAACAGTATAAGGTAGTGTAATTTAATAATAACTAAACATATTTTATTTTAATTATTCATTTTTACAAGTATCTATACAATTTGTTATAATTGGTAATATTAATAATTTATATCTCATTTTATATTTTTTTGTTAAACTTTTAGGGTTACTATTAATAAAACCTTTGATATGGATCATAATACTGAGACTCTGAAACGTTTATCGAATTCCGAAAAACCTAATAATCAAGTGAAACTGGCTAATGTGGGTGCGGCTGCTTTACCACCGGGTCATATTAAGTGTAACATTTTAAAAGGTGAGTTTAAGATCAAAATTTCACAAATTTTTTCAAAGAATAATAAACGATCTTGTCAAAAATTATAAAAAAAAATTTTTTATGGCCAATTTGCTACAGCTTATTGTATCTCGCAAATATTGCTTTAAAAACCATTATGATTCCCATTACAAAATCGTTATCACCTCGAAACTATTGATTTAGTACCTCTTCTTTAAAGTTTACTTAATATATTTATAATTTTGTTTTTGTTTAATAATATATAATAAAATATACACGTGTTAAAAAAACAAACTTGTATTGTCTACGAAAATTAGCACTAACATGAGAAAATAACACTATTATTACCTCACATCTTGCGTTTACAAATTACATTAAAAATAATAAAAAGAACAATGGAATTCAAAATTAATTTTCATGTACAAGAGTTGGGAGTACAAAAAAGAAACTCAATGGGAAACTTCCATCTTTATTGTATACATTATGGGCGCAATGTAAAACCAGCTAGCGAGCTTGATTATAATTTTTAAATTAAATTATTATTCAGTTCTGTTTTAATAAATAAATAACTTTTTATAAATTTTTTAAAGCTTAAAAGCTTTAAAAGACTATAGACCGATCAGTCTGTCATCGTTTTTATGGAAAACACTGGAAGATTGGTCGATATCCATGTTAGAAACATTCTCCGCCCTGATAATTTCTGTAGGGCACAACCTTAAAGGGAGATTAGTGATGACAGCCTTTCATGACATTGTCGGAACTGTAGAGAAGACTTACTTACTTACTTACTTACTTTGCCTTTCTTGGGGTGCGTTTGACAACGTGAACATATACGCGGATGTTGATCAGCGGATAAAAGATTGGACAGAAAACATGCTTAAGAGTAAGGCCTAGTAACTCTAATAAGGGTTATTGACGAGACAAGGAAAGTTGTGAAAAGAAGCACTCCACTCCAGGTGGTTTCATTTCTCCACTCGTGTGGAATTTTATCGTAAATAAAATCCTTTTCAGACTCATTAGGATGGGCTTCAAAGTAGTAGCATATGCTGACGACGTTGTGATTCTTATTCAAGGAAAGTTTCTTCCACAATAATAGAACTCATGGAAACAGCTCTCAGCGTTCTGCTAACATGGACCAGGGAAAACTGTCTGGGTGTCAATACTGCCAAAATACCAGAATTCAGATCATGATTTAATGGTACCATGTATCTTGGCGTAATTTTAGACTCTAGACTCTAAGTTCTCTTTAGGAAAAGAAGGGGTCTTAAACCATACATTGTGCTCTGGATGACACCGCGGTTATAAGATCTATTTTAACTTACGGGGCCCTTGACAATTTTTAATTTCGAACACATTTACAATTCTTTCGAATAAGTTCGAATTTTCGAACTTAACTTAAAAAGCTTATACATATTCTGAAACTACATTACTACAGTTCTTTAAACTTCATGAAAAACTTAAAATTATTTTCAAAATTTTTATGTTCGAAATTAAAAAAATTAAATTTTTATGAATCTACATGATTTACAGATTATTTTAACAGGTTTAAAATTTTTCGAACATAAGTTCGAATTTTCGAAAAAGCTTATATTCTGAAACTTCAACGAGAATACTTTAAAATTCATGAAAAACTTAAAAAAAAATTTCAAAATTTTTATGTTCGAAATTCGAAAATGTATAAAAATTGGTCTCAAATAAAACTAAAATTAATTTTTATAAAACCACATGATTTACAGATTATTTTAACAGTTTAAAAAATTTTCGAATTTTCGAAAAGCTTATATTCTGAAAATACTTTAATATTCATGATAAACTTAAAATAATTTTTAAAATTTTTATGTTCGAAATTCGAAAATGTATAAAAATTGAGCTTAAATACAAATAATATTTTATAGAATTCACTGATTATTTTAAGGGCTTTAAAAATTTTTCGAATTTAATTTCAAAATTTTCGAAAATTTCATTAAACGTGATAAAAATTTTATTACAAAAACTTCTTAAATCAAAATATTTCTTTATTTAATAAAAGTTTAACAATATAAGTATAATTACAAATATATTTTTATTATTTATATTATTTTCCACAGCACGGGTCGAGGAGGAGCTGGGAGCTAACACGAATGCCAAGTTAACGAATCAAATGTTTGTGCCGGCAGCAACTTCAGTTAATAGCACTAACAATAATAACAATATAACAACAACGAACAATCTACAAAATACAACAACTATACACCATAGTGACGGGCCAGACTCACTCAATGCCACCTACATTTCAGTTGTAAGTATAAGTTTCTTTTTAGTTTCGTTCCTAATAGGATTTTCTTTATAAAGTTTATATAGGTTTTTTTTATTAAATTGTGGAAAAAAATATATAGACACACATTAAAAAAATGCTAATGACTTTATTTTGTTTATGTGCTACCACAACTATGTTGAGTGTTAAATGTAAAAGTTAAAGCTAAAACGTTAAATGTTAATCTGTTATTTTTTAATTCTTATTTTTTTGCACTTTCATTTTATTTACATTTTTGTTTGTTATTCATTATTTTTTTTTGTTTTCTGTTCTTTCTTTTTTGTTAATCAAAAACCATTCACCACCTACCCCATATCACCAAAATAAAATTGTTGTGCATTACTCACTTTTAAAAACGTTGTTAATGTAAAAAACAAACTTAATTATCACCTTGTGATCATGCTTCCATTAAATATGAATGTAAACTGTATAATTTTGTGTGTATATGTACAACGTAATTGTGTAACTTAAATGGAATTGCAAATGAATTTAATAAAACAACAACTACAATAACAAAAGGGTGGTGATAAATTGACTTTGAGCATAACTGAGCAGAAACCCACCACGGCTGCCCATCAAAATTCCGGTAATATATTTGGTTTTACTAATAATAACAATAATAGCACTGCCAACAGCAATACTTCGACACCAACATCTCCATTTGCTAATGCAACTTTTATATCAGAATTTGAAACCAATACACCATCAACACCCACCCATCACAGCAATTATCATCTTCAACATCATCATCAATCTCCACCAAATTCTTTAACCATTATGAATACCAATACCACCATACCAATGTCCACCTATTCAAATCATAATAACAATAACAATATAAGCCACGCCTCCACCTCCGCCTCCTCTTGCTCTCCTAAAATCTCCAGCACCACCACAAATAATAATACAACACCATCCACATCTGCAAATACCACAAAAACTACTCTTATAAACTCAACTACAATACAATCAAATTTGAATTCTTCTTCAACAATGTCCAACACGTCCACGTCCTCTCTATCGCCGAATTGTAATAAAACTGATGCAACCACCTCTACTCCTAAACCCACCACTCCAACTTTAACCTCCACAACAGCAGAAATGTTAATAAATGAAATTTTCATTAACAATATTATCAATAATAATGTAAAAGCCAGTACGGAAAAGCATACAAATGGCAGTAACGAAGTTGATTCATCGACCACATCTTCTGCTGCGACACATCAAATGTCACAAACACCCTCGGTGGGTACTTTACTGTTTTCCACGTTGAGTGAACAGGAACGTCAGCAAAAGCAACGTGATGCCATTAAGCAACAACAGTCTTGTAATGATATTATTGAAAGTATACACGATAAAAAGGTTTGTTTTTCGTTTGTTTGTTTCCTTTTTTTAATTTATGTTCATTTTATTTTGTTATTACCAGTTATTATTATAATTTTGTTTTGTGCCTTTTGTTATTTTAAAACTTCTTTTCTTTTATTTAAATGTTTCACAATTGCTTTATTTATGTAAATTTTGTTAACTTAAAACAATACACTTAATTCTTTTTATCCTTAATAACAGTCGTAAAAGCTTGAAAATTTTCTATAGAAAAATTAAAATTTTCCAAAGAAAAATGATCATTATTGATAATTTGCTGAACTAGAACTGAAATAGAACTGAACTAGAACTGAACTAGAACTGAACTAGAACTGAACTAGAACTGAACTAGAACTGAACTAGAACTGAACTAGAACTGAACTAACTAGAACTGAACTGAACTAGAACTGAACTAGAACTGAACTAGAACTGAACTAGAACTGAACTAGAACTGAACTAGAACTGAACTAGAACTGAACTAGAACTGAACTAGAACTGAACTAGAACTGAACTAGAACTGAACTAGAACTGAACTAGAACTGAACTAGAACTGAACTAGAACTGAACTAGAACTGAACTAGAACTGAACTAGAACTGAACTAGAAACTGAACTAGAACTGAAACTAGAACTGAACTAGAACTGAACTAGAACTGAACTATAACTGAACTAGAACTGAACTAGAACTGAACTAGAACTGAACTAGAACTGAACTAGAACTGAACTAGAACTGAACCTAGAACTGAACTAGAACTGAACTAGAACTGAACTAGACTGAACTAGAACTGAACTAGAACTGAACTAGAACTGAACTAGAACTGAACTAGAACTGAACTAGAACTGAACTAGAACTGAACTAGAACTAGAACTAGAACTGAACTAGAACTGAACTAGAACTGACTAGAACTGACTAGAACTGAACTAGAACGGAACTAGAACTGAACTAGAACTGAACTAGAACTGAACTAGAACTGAACTAGAATGAAACTAGAACTGAACTAGAACTGAACTTAGAACTGAACTAGAACTGAACTAGAACTGAACTAGAACTGAACTATGAACTGAACTAGAACTGAACTGAACTAGAACTGACTGAACTAACTAGAACTGAACTAGACTGAACTAGAACTAACTGAACTAGAACTGAACTAGAACTGAACTAGAACTGAACTAGAACTGAACTAGAACTGAACTAGAACTGAACTAGAACTGAACTAGAACTGAACTAGAACTGAACTAGAACTGAACTAGAACTGAACTAGAACTGAACTAGAACTGAACTAGAACTGAACTAGAACTGAACTAGAACTGAACTAGAACTGAACTAGAACTGAACTAGAACTGAACTAGAACTGAACTAGAACTGAACTGAACTGAACTAGAACTGAACTGAACTAGAACTGAACTGAACTAGAACTGAACTGAACTGAACTAGAACTGAACTGAACTAGAACTGAACTGAACTAGAACTGAACTGAACTAGAACTGAACTGAACTGAACTGAACTAGAACTGAACTGAACTAAACTGAACTAGAACTGAACTGAACTAGAACTGAACTAGAACTGAACTAGAACTGAACTAGAACTGAACTAGAACTGAACTAGAACTGAACTAGAACTGAACTAGAACTGAACTAGAACTGAACTAGAACTGAACTAGAACTGAACTAGAAACTGAACTAGAAACGAACTAGAACTGAACTAGAACTGAACTAGAACTGAACTAGAACTGAACTAGAACTGAACTAGAACTGAACTAGAACTGAACTAGAACTGAACTAGAACTGCACTAGAACTGAACTAGAACTGAACTAGAACTGAACTAGAACTGAACTAGAACTGAACTAGAACTGAACTAGAACTGAACTAGAACTGAACTAGAACTGAACTAGAACTGAACTAGAACTGAACTAGAACGAACTAGAACTGAACTAGAACTGAACTAGAACTGAACTAGAACTGAACAGAACTGAACTAGAACTGAATAGAACTGAACTAGAACTGAACTAGAACTGAACTAGAACTGAACTAGAACTTAGAACTAGAACTGAACTAGAACTGAACTAGAACTGAACTAGAACTGAAACTAGAACTGAACTGAATGAACTAGAACTGAACTAGAACTGAACTAGAACTGAACTAGAACTGAACTAGAACTGAACTAGAACTGAACTAGAAACTGAACTAGAACTGAACTAGAACTGAACTAGAACTGAACTAGAACTGAACTAGAACTGAACTAGAACTGAACTAGAACTGAACTAGAACTGAACTAGAACTGAACTAGAACTGAACTAGAACTGAACTAGAACTGAACTAGAACTGACTAGAACTGAACTAGAACTGAACTAGAACTGAACTAGAACTGAACTAGAACTGAACTAGAACTGAACTAGAACTGAACTAGAACTGAACTAGAACTGAACTAGAACTGAACTAGAACTGAACTAGAACTGAACTAGAACTGAACTAGAAAACTGAACTAGAACTGAACTAGAACTGAACTAGAACTGAACTAAACTAGAACTGAACTAGAACTGAACTAGAACTGAACTAGAACTGAACTAGAACTGAACTAGAACTGAACTAGAACTGAACTAGAACTGAACTAGAACTGAACTAGAACTGAACTAGAACTGAACTAGAACTGAACTAGAACTGCTAGAACTGAACTAGAACTGAACTAGAACTGAACTAGAACTGAACTAGAACTGAACTAGAACTGAACTAGAACTGAACTAGAACTGAACTAGAACTGAACTAGAACTGAACTAGAACTGAACTAGAACTGAACTAGAACTGAACTAGAACTGAACTAGAACTGAAGAACTGAACTAGAATGAACTAGAACTGAACTAGAACTGAACTAGAACTGAACTAGAACTGAACTAGAACTGAACTAGAACTGAACTAGAACTGAACTAGAACTGAACTAGAACTGAACTAGAACTGAACCAGAACTGAACTAGAACTGAACTAGAACTGAACTAGAACTGAACTAGAACTGAACTAGAACTGAACTAGAACTGAACTAGAACTGAACTAGAACTGAACTAGAACTGAACTAGAACTGAACTAGAACTGAACTAGAACTGAACTAGAACTGAACTAGAACTGAACTAGAACTGAACTAGAACTGAACTAGAACTGAACTAGAACTGAACTAGAACTGAGCTAGAACTGAGCTAGAACTGAACCAAAATTGAATAACAACTGATTTTTTAAACTAAAACTTTTTAATGTAGAAAATTTTTGATAGAAAAATTACAAAATTTTTCTTTTTATTACTGAATAAACCGATTAAATAAAGAAATAAAAGCGTTTCTTTAAAAGTGATTTTATCGTTTTCTGTAAAAAGTAGTCCGGGCCATCTCGATTTATATCACATTAACAAGTTCTTCCTAATACATTTTTCTTACCATTTTTTCATAATTCTGCTTTTAAAAAATGTTTTCTCGGATTCACAAGCTTAACTTCAAAACCTTTTAAAACTTTCAAACTTTCGTTAACAACAATTAAAATATGTATAATAATTTATTCCAACAACTCTTTCGTTATTTTAGCCGCTAACACACAAACAACATAATAATCATTATCATCAGCAGCAACAACATCATCATGTTATTACAACACAAAATGATGCAATGGTATCACCCTGGCTGGTATCAGCGGAAGTTGTATCGGCGCCCAAAGGTAAGGAACCGACGATTATACGAAAATCTGTTATAACAACACAGTTGTAAACAGAATTTAATTATGTTGTAGTTTTTTTTAATAATAATTAATTAGATATTAGTTATATTATCTATTTGTTTAACTGAAATATTTTAAATTTAATTAAAACTTCATCTACTTATTTATTCATTTAACTTAAAATGATCTTGAAATTTAAAATTATTATGTACTTGATTTCTACAATATAAAAATATTTATGTTATAAATTTTATTTAAATATACTTTTTAAAGTATATAAAACAATTTAAGAAAGAAGACAATGAAAGAATGCAACGCAACTTTAAAAAAGTTATATTATTTATTTAATAAGTGCCTTGAAAATATGTATAACAATATGACATATAAAAGAAAACTTAATGCAGCTATTTTAAATTGTTATAACTTTAAACTTAATTTAAGTACTTAAAATAACTACTTCCTCCACATTAACAAAATCCAAAAAGACTTAAAAAACGAAAAATCCCACATTTTTTTAATTAACAAAAAACAAAACAAATTATTTTTTAAAAAGAGAACATATAACCAACGTTTAAAAAGGCATTTATTTGTATTTATTATTACATTCCTTGTCATTTATAAAATTATAATAATTTTAATTTATAATTTTGTTCGATTCCTTCCAATTTATTATTTTTCATAAGTAGTTAATAATTTTGAAACAAATTTAATTCGTTAAGTACATTTGTTGTCCATTTTACTTATTTCTTCTGTGTGTAACGTTTCTCAAATTTCTATTTAATTATTATTATTATTATTTTTTATTATACATTCGAATGTATAACAGTTTTAGTATTATTTTTTAACGGCAATTATTATTATACAATTATAAATAAAAATAAAATTATCGAAACGAAAATAAAGCAAATAAATATGGCAATTCTTTTTTAAAAGAACTTAAAAATTAACAATGTTTAAAATATATAATTATACATTTTATTTTAAAACAACGATATTTTATTATACCTATATACATACTTATAAATATATACAAATAAATATACTTAGTTATTTTATTATAATACAAAAAGTATATTAAATAAATAAAAAATATTGTCTTTTATTAATTTATTTGGATTTTAATAACTTTTTTAAAATTTATCTATCTCGTAGTATAAATTTTCAACTTGGTGTGGTGGATAATTAAGTTTGTATAGCAAGTTGCCCATAACAAACATTTCAAGATTCCTAATTCAAGATTTAAAAACAAATCATTTCAAGTCCATACTATTTTATTATACTGCGCAGAGTTCAAGATTCCAATTATAGAATAATCATTCAATACAAATCAAGTCATTATAAAAGTTTTGGTAAGTTGTTTTTATAAATTACTATAACTAATTCGAATATAACCATGTTATTAGAATATTAGAACTGAACTAGAACTGAACTAGAACTGAACCAGAACTGAACTAGAACTAGAACTGACTAGAACTGAACTAGAACTGAACTAGAACTAGAACTGAACGAGAACTGAACTAGAACTGAACTAGAACTGAACTAAACTGAACTAGAACTGACTAGAACTGAACTAGAACTGAACTAGAACTGAACTAGAACTGAACTAGAACTGAACTAGAAATGAACTAGAACTGAACTAGAACTGAACTAGAACTGAACTAGAACTGAACTAGAACTGAACTAGAACTGAACTAGAACTGAACTAGAACTGAAACTAGAACTGAACTAGAACTGAAACTAGAACTGAACTAGAACTGAACTAGAACTGAACTAGAACTGAACTAGAACTGAACTAGAACTGAACTAGAACTGAACTAGAACTGAACTAGAACTGACTAGAACTGAACTAGAAACTGAACTAGAACTGAACTAGAACTGAACTAGAACTGAACTAGAACTGAACTAGAACTGAACTAGAACTGACTAGAACTAGAACTGAACTAGAACTGAACTAGAACTGAACTAGAACTGAACTAGAACTGAACTAGAACTGAACTAGAACTGAACTAGAACTGAACTAGAACTGAACTAGAACTGAACTAGAACTGAACTAGAACTGAACTAGAACTGAACTAGAACTGAACTAGAACTGAACTAGAACTGAACTAGAACTGAACTAGAACTGAACTAGAACTGAACTAGAACTGAACTAGAACTGAACTAGAACTGAACTAGAACTGAACTAGAACTGAACTAGAACTGAACTAGAACTGAACTAGAACTGAACTAGAACTGAACTAGAACTGAACTAGAACTGAACTAGAACTGAACTAGAACTGAACTAGAACTGAACTAGAACTGAACTAGAACTGAACTAGAACTGAACTAGAACTGAACTAGAACTGAACTAGAACTGAACTAGAACTGAACTAGAACTGAACTAGAACTGAACTAGAACTGAACTAGAACTGAACTAGAACTGAACTAGAACTGAACTAGAACTGAACTAGAACTGAACTAGAACTGAACTAGAACTGAACTAGAACTGAACTAGAACTGAACTAGAACTGAACTAGAACTGAACTAGAACTGAACTAGAACTGAACTAGAACTGAACTAGAACTGAACTAGAACTGAACTAGAACTGAACTAGAAAACTGAACAGAACTGAACTAGAACTGAACTAGAACTGAACTAGAACTGAACTAGAACTGAACTAGAACTGAACTAGAACTGAACTAGAACTGAACTAGACTGAACTAGAACTGAACTAGAACTGAACTAGAACTGAACTAGAACTGACAGAACTGAACTAGAACTGAACTAGAACTGACTAGACTGAACTAGAACTGAACTAGAACTGAACTAGAACTGAACTAGAACTGAACTAGAACTGACTAACTGAACCTGAACTAGAACTGAACTAGAACTGAACTAGAACTGAACTAGAACTGAACTAGAACTGAACTAGAACTGAACTAGACTGAACTAGAACTGAACTAGAACTGAACTAGAACTGAACTAGAACTGAACTAGAACTGAACTAGAACTGAACTAGAACTGAACTAGAACTGAACTAGAACTGAACTAGAACTGAACTAGAACTGAACTAGAACTGAACTAGAACTGAACTAGAACTGAACTAGAACTGAACTAGAACTGAACTAGAACTGGAACTAGAACTGAACTAGAACTGAACTAGAAAACTGAACTAGAAACTGAACTAGAAACTGAACTAGAACTGAACTAGAAACTGAACCTAGAAACTGAACTAGAACTGACACTAGAACTGAACTAGAACTGAACTAGAACTGAACTAGAACTGAACTAGAACTGAACTAGAACTGGAACTAGAAGAACTGAACTAGAACTGAACTAGAACTTCTGAACTAGAACTGAACTAGAACTGAACTATACTGACTAGAACTGAACTAGAACTGAACTAGAACTGAACTAGAACTGAACTAGAACTGACTAGAACTGAACTAGAACTGACTAGAACTGAACTAGAACTGAACTAGAACTGAACTAGAACTGAACTAGAACTGAACTAGAACTGAACTAGAAACTGAACTAGAACTGAACTAGAAACTGAACTAGAACTGAACTAGAACTGAACTAGAACTGAACTAGAACTGAACTAGAACTGAACTAGAACTGAACTAGAACTGAACTAGAACTGAACTAGAACTGAACTAGAACTGAACTAGAACTGAACTAGACTGAACTAGAACTGAACTAGAACTGAACTAGAACTGAACTAGAACTGAACTAGAACTGAACTAGAACTGAACTAGAACTGAACTAGAACTGAACTAGAACTGAACTAGAACTGAACTAGAACTGAACTAGAACTGAACTAGAACTGAACTAGAACTGAACTAGAAATTGAACTAGAACTGAACTAGAACTGAACTAGAACTGAACTAGAACTGAACTAGAACTGAACGAGAACTGAACGAGAACTGAACTAGATAGGATATTTAAAATTGTTGAAAAAATCTTTTTAATAAATTTATTGGCCTTCACATTGCGATATTGGGACACATAATAGAACATTATTTCTATTTCCTTTCATTATTGCAGTGCAATTTTAATTACGACATATTAACACGCCTTTTAAGGAAATTTTTCTTTAAAACATAACAATTAATGAAAATAATCCATTTAATTTAAATACTAAATAAATTAACGAAAAAAATGATCAAAATAACTAAACAAATATTATAGACTGCCTAAATGAATGAGTGAGTTTAGTATATTATGTTCAAATACACACAATATGTATGTATTTTCATACCAAAAAACAAAATTCTATTTTTTCAATATTAATTATCGTTTATTATGTATCCATCTATTCATGCAACAACAGCAACAATTTAGATGAGATGGATGAGATCAAAAAATATTTTTAGAAATTTTATTTGAAAAAATCCATACGATAACATATGTATTTTGTTTATATGCGAGTACGACGAGTTCATTTCATTTATTTGCTCCCTCTAGACACTTGAGAATACGTTTTCTTGTGTGTGGGTTGCAGGCATATCATCTGGTTAAAATAAACATATTCTCCCTAGTTTATCATCTCTTATGTGGGGTTACTTGAAAAACAAAAAGAAAAACCAACGGAAGGTGAAACCTAGGAAGTGGAACTTCTTGTGCACTCACCATTAAATAGTTTTGCTGTTTTTACAGCTGCTTGTTTTTCTTGTGTGTATGTTTTTCTTAAAGGAAATGCTATTTATCTTTATCAGGGACGGACAAATGAATGTATATCGTAAGATTTAAAATATATTGGAATCAATATTCAGTGTATTAGCATTTGAATGACTAAATTATACCAAAGTGCACTTTGTTAAAAAGAGTGTATAACAAAGATATTTTAGTGTTTCTCTGTATCTGTGCAATACACTTGACTGTGACTCCCAGCATTGATGTTGGAGGGGGGTCACAAGAGCCCAACATCTGCTTAACACATTATGTTGTTTGTTTTTTTTATGGATTTGGAAATACTCCTTACAAGATTATGTTTTCGTTGTTGTTACATTATTTTTAGAATATTTTAAAGTAAATGTTTTGTGGCTGCATTTTTTACCCCCCTTGTATTGAAAGTAACTACACTGTAAGAAATTTGTGGCTTGTTTTTCTTTTAGGAATAAATTTAAACTTTTTTTCGTTATGTTTTTTAAGATATTTTTTCAAGGTGTTGATATTTATTTAACATTGTTTTTATCTCTCAATTTATCTTTGTATTTTTTTGTTTTATTTATTTATCTCGTATAGTTCTAAAATTTACAATATTTTCTTCTTCATCTTCATTATCAAGTCCATGTATGTATAAATAGTTTTCCATTGTTTTGAGTTTAAACTTAAATGATTATAATAATAACATATAATAATTAAAAAGAAAAATTATAATAAAATGTTTAAAATTAAAATGAAAAAAGTAAGTTTGTTGTTTGATGGCACGACAGTGAGTGTCAGGATGAGTGACAAACGTTGCCGTTGAATGCAGCTGGGCGTGTCGCTTAGAAGCACTTGCGGTGGACAATGCCGGGGCCGGATTCGTCGTATTCTTGCTTGGAGATCCACATCTGTTGGAAGGTGGAGAGGGAGGCCAAGATGGAACCACCGATCCAGACGGAGTATTTGCGTTCTGGTGGGGCAATGATCTTGATCTTGATGGTGGATGGGGCCAAGGCAGTGATTTCCTTTTGCATGCGATCGGCAATACCGGGGTACATGGTGGTGCCACCAGACATGACAATGTTGGCGTACAAGTCCTTACGGATATCTACGTCACACTTCATGATGGAGTTGTAGACGGTTTCGTGGATACCGCAAGATTCCATACCCAAGAATGAGGGTTGGAAGAGGGATTCGGGGCAACGGAAACGTTCATTACCGATGG